AGTGGGACATAGCCCTAGGACATAAAAGTTAAAATCTTTAACCTAACTCAGTAGATTTATCATTTGTTGGTGAGACTGCTATTGTGAGTTTGAAACTATTTTATGTATAATGTAGGGTAAAACAAATGGATTTTGAGAGTTCTCACTGTGGGAGAAGGGAGATAAATGTGTAGAATGTTCAGAAAGATCCTGAGGTATTGGATTTGAATCAGGATGAGCTCCTGACTTAAAACAAATAATTATATTTCTCAGCTCTTTTTGTTTGGAAAAGCTGGAAGCAAAATTGCTCTACCAAACACACCTAAAACAAATATCTTCAAGCCAAAAGATCACGCTCCACTGCAAGCAACCAAAAGTCCTTAGGTAGGTGATTGACTTCAGATCAGGGGTAGGGACACTGCAAGGGTAGTCTAGAACATTGTGTTCTAGAAGCAAGGGAAGCTAATGACAAAATGTGAAAAGAACCTAAGAGACAGCTAAAAGGAACTTCCACTAGCCATAATTGAGACAGTTGAGCATCAAAAAGAATGATAGGGTGGATTAGTACAGTGAGTTATAAATCTATGAATTAATAGGCATTCTAAACACAGGGAGGAAATGAGGAGAAAGTACCTTTTCTATAAAGAAGAAAGCTAAATAAAAGGGAAGAGGGAATCATAGATTTTTAAATCACCCTTTGGTAAGCACAAATATAATAGTTGATTTAGATAAGGGATATCAGGTAGTAGTAAAAGCATTCATTGAAAGTTTCCGTGGAATGGAATATTTATACCATCTCAAAGTATCACAGCACAGAAATTTCACTTAGAGAAAGAAGGTATTGCATTTACGTTAGAAGAACTGGATGGTACCCAGCTAGTTGAGTTATTGTGTAATATTATCAATAGAGAGGCTCTATTATCTTATATACCCCTTGGTAAAACATAATGAGAAATATAGACCATCATCCATGTAATATTTTGCCAAAAATGTCTTACATTCTGGTTTTGTCATGTAAAATCAGGTTTAATATTATGAAAATATGAATATGGACTATATATTAAATGATTTAGAATTAATGCTAAATTTCTTAGATGTTATATGATATTGTGAGTATGTAGAAGAATGTCCTTATCTTTAAAGTTATGTGAACTAAAGTGTAAGGGTTAAGCATCATGATTTGTGAAATTTATTTTCAAATGGTTAAAAATATGCATTTGTATATACAGTATTTCCATACTTTATGTATATCACATATAAGAAATAAATGTTGCAAAATATTAACAAATGTTGAATGTGGGTAAAAGGTCTACACATTTTCTACTGATCTTCCAATTTTTCTATAGCTTTGAACCATTTCACAATAAAATATTGGGCATAAGAGTTTCTCTCTCTCTCATATATATATATATATATATATATGAGAGAATGTATATATATTTATACATATATATGTACATAAGTATATATACATTTATTTACTTCTATCTCAAGCCTATTGGTGCCTAGCTTGTTATATACAACATTCAATAAATGGTAGCAAAAATGAGACCACTTTACAACATGGTCTTCATCTTTCAAGGCCTCATACTCCATTTCACTTGGACATAGTCTGTTTAAAAGTTGAGGAGTAGGCATGAAATGAGGGAGCTCTGTTTTTTGTGTGAGACATTTGTGGAAAGGGAAAAATATGAATTGCTTTAGTCTTTTATCAGCAGCTACTTCCCAGATGAAGCCGTGGGGCTCAGCGGGCATGAGCTTCTCTCTCTAGCAGCAGATTACTTTGCAGCCTCTCAAAAGCACTAGGGTGCTGAAATGACATATTCTGCAAATTCCCCAGAAGACAATTTTGGAGCATGGATAAAGGCAGCGTGGAGCCAGTCAGTTCAATTCCAGAGGTTGCTCTCTGGCTCCCTGAGGGGATGTTCAGTTAATTGACTAGGGCCATCCTCCACCTGGCACTTGCCCTCCAGGTGAATGAGTTCCCCAGCAAATGGAAATGTGCCTCCTCCCTCTATAGGAAGAATGGGGCCTAATTCTGGCATAGGGAGGGCATTCACACTCTGTTGAGACCTTCCAGCAGTTCCTCAGCTAGGCCCTCAGAAGAGCTACAAATTCTTGGTGTTTTGTATACTGATGTCTTTAATATGGAAATGTCCACACATTTCCTAGAACAGAAATCAATGTTTTATTAATGATGTTTAATATAAATTTAATTTTGAAGCATTGCTGTTCTCACATTGTTTTCATGAAGGTTTTGGAGTTTGTTTATTTATTTTCTCTTAATGATGAGAATAAGAATGGGAGATGTTAAGGCATGTCTTGAAGTTGGGACTTGGGACTTTGCTGGTGTCCAGGGAGGTCATTCTCTGTCTTAGTTACTTTTCCCATTGCTGAGACAATCTACCCAACACCCAAAAGTTAGAGGAGAAAAGGTTCACTGTAGCTTATAGTTTGTAGAGGTTTTAGTTCAAGGCAAGGTGGCATGGCAGACGGGCATCACAGAGGAGAAAGAGTTCATGGTAGGCAGAAGGCAGCAAGCAGCAAAGTAGCAAAGCATCAAGTGATAATAGCAGCCCTCTTTCTATCCCTTATATTGTATCCAGGAGACATACCCTTAGGGTGGGTAGCACTCACACCCAGGGTGGGAAAACCTTTAATCCTAGCATCACTTCATGAATCAATCTCACCATCATATCCTTAATCCCAGCATCACACACACTAGATCAAGCCACCTCATAAAGCCCTGCCTATGACCACATGAGGCTTTGGAGGGGCATCTAGATACAACCTTCCTTGTGCAGAGTTGGTACATGCACATAACACCTCTTAATTCCTTTTTTCATCCTTTTTCCCTCTCCTTTCTCTCCTCCCTCTCTCTTAATCCCCTTACTCATTGAGAAAGATCTATCTCCCTACTTCCTGTGACCTATGCTTTATACCATCCCTTTTAATGTACATGATAATCTATTAGATAGGCACTATCATTGAGTCCATTTATAGATGAGTAAACCAAAGTAGTAAGAGGTTCAGCAGTGTGCCCCAGGCATAATTGGCTCCAGAGTCTCCCTTCCTAATGACTGATTTTATCTGGCCTAGGAAGGGGATAAACATTTCTGAAACAATGGAGACAGATCAAGGGTAAGTTCTAGCTCCCAGCCCTGATCTGGAACATCTGTGACACACAGCCCACCCTGCAGAACTCCCTTATAGGAACAGGCTGCAGTTGACATTTGCTGGACTTGGCCGGAAGATGAGCGTTGACTTCTCTCCTTTCCTGTTTTCCTTCCTCTAACCCCTTCCCACTCTCCCATGGGAAACTTCCTGAATCAATCATTTGTACACAAATGTGGATTTCAGAGGATTTCAAATTCTGTAGAACTAACTCATGCCCCACAAGGTCAGGGGCAGCATGGATAGAGGGAAATATGAGGTGCAGCCACAGAGAAGTGTTTCTTAGGTAAGTTCTAGAACTGGAAAAATCTACCCTATTGATAAGATGCTATGCTGGAATTACACAAAAATTGCAGTGGGAGCCTGGGAAGGAACACTCAAGAAGTTTGCAGTGTAGTCAAGGAAAGCTTCCTGCAGGAAGTAACATTTGATCAAAGACTTGAAAAATGAAGTGTTTGCCTTAAAGACATGGAGAAATAGGTCATGCTAAGCAGAAGAAATAGCATAGATAAGGACAGAGAGGCAGGGAGTTATGTGTTCTAGGAGTCCAAGAGCCTTCATATTATCCCAGCAGTCTCACATCAGAGGTATGATGGAAGGCAAGTTGCAAGAGACAGACTCATTAGACACTTGTGTGTGAGAGTGGTGGGATGTGGGAAATGGAGACTCCCAGGCTGACTTTTCAGCCTCTGTCTTGAGCTGCAGGTGTACCTCTTTGATACAAGGCACAGAGGGTGAGAAATCAGTATATCAGAGATTAGTTCATCTTTGAATACTCAGTTTGAGAGCACTGTGGGACATCCAGGTATATAATCAGTTCTGGTTGCATTTAAGGTTCATGCTAGGATTCACACATATACAGTATTTTCTTTTTAATTTGTACAGAATTGAGTTTTATAACTCTGTGGAGATTAACTAATTAATTGTCAATTTGAGTGGGAACATCCAGATGAATTGAGTCAGCATAGTTCTGGGTGTGGGACACCCATTTTAAGGAGGATTGTTGTTTGAACAGTATAAAAAAGAAAATGGAAGGGAAGAATTTCAGCTGATTTTCCCTGGAAAATCTTCATTGCGATTGATTTTCCTCAGAGGTGCTCTGGTCTCCACCTTTGCCTTGGGCATTGTCTCCTGGCTTTAGGTGCACATTCTTCAGCTTTCAGCACCTGCTTTATGGCCCTGTGGCACAGACTCTAGCTTCTAGCACCAACCCTTTGATCTCTCAGCACAGACCTCTCAGTCTTCCCTCAGGGATCCTTCGGCCTCTTGATGTGAACTCATACAGGACTTTGCTGTGAGCTCCAGGCCTAGGGCTGGATCCTTCGGATCTCTAGCATTTGGACAGACCTTTTGTACTCTTCTACATTTGACTCTGTGGGAGGTCACTGCAGACCAATCGTCAATTTCTGTGTCTGGCATTAAATTTGATTCCGAGCATGTGCAGTCCTTTGAGTAGCCTTTCCCAAGTCCTGCAAGCTCTTGTCAGCATTGACTAACACAAGCTTCCAATCTGAACATGTTTAGAAAATAAGATTGATGCTTTACTTTTAGAAGCATCAGTGTAATTAAAGCATGGGTGAAGAAGGTGGTAGAAAGTGAGAAGAGGGACGTAGGCACAAAAAACTCAACCTTGTGTACACATTGACAGCAGAGCTGCACTGCATTTGGGAGCAGCGTCCCCTGGAGTTGTGCAATGCACAGCCTATGTGGTCCTTTATTGAAGATCTTGAGAAAAGATGGGAAGACTAAAAATATAGGAAAAATAAAAACCTCATCACTGCTTAACATGGTCCCATGAGCATATTCAGCAGTCCCCTTGCCCCGGTAAGCCAGCTTCCCTCACTCACCATCCTCTTCGGTCTGTACCACCAGCTCCTCACTCTCCATCCGTCCCTCAGGGTTGGACAGCAGGAGCCGCAGTCTGATGGTCATGAAGGGGCGCAGGCCCCGCAGGGTGTAGTGAGAAGAGGTTTGGATGACCTCTTCAGCTTCATACTGCTGCTGGTTGAACACATACTGGTACTGCACTGTGAGGTTGTAGCTGTGGCAACGGGTCACTGCATAGCCAAAGGGCTCCCACTGCAGAGTCAGCTGCCGGGCTCGGATGTCCACGATCTCCACATTCTGGGGGCCGTGCACAGGGTCTGCAAGAGACGTACAAGACACAGAGGCTCTGAGCAGACCATCAGAAGGGCAACCATCCGAATGGTTCTTCCAAAGATATCTCAACTGGGGCTGGGGATTTAGCTCAGCGGCAAAAGCACCTGCCTGGCAAGCGCAAGGTCGTGAGTTTGGTTCCTGGTACTGGAGAAAAACCAAAAAAAAAAAAAAAAAGATATCTCAACCACTCAATTTCAGCATTTGTAATTTTTGACACATGCAGTGTAATTTACATCACACTTTTCTTTCAATCAATCCCCCCTTTTTATTGAAATACATATATCCAAGGCAAAACATAAATACATGAAGTGAAAACTTGCCATATATCACTTGCCATAAATAAATGTTAGCTATAAAAATAAGTGCAGAATTGTTAAATTCTTAAGGATTCATGGAGGTGCCACTGAAAACCATGTTGGGTTTGCCAACAGCACAGAGATTTCTGGAATATACTGATGGAGACAGCTGCTGGAATTTTAACCTGTCTCCTGATATTTAATTCAGCCACCTCCTCTCCCCGGAGGTCAGCCTCCCCTCTTTAGTTAATAGCACTCAAGTGAACAAGCTGGAAAATGAGTCAGATTCTTGACATAGCATCCAGCCTAGTGCCAAGGTCACTATGTCCTTTGGGCTCTGCCTTCAAATTTCCCCCTTCCTGGGTAACACATTGCATCAATTCCTAGCACTCTATGAGAGAGCTCTTTACTCTTTTTTCTCTCCTCTCACCTCACTCTCCCAGCACATCTGACTAGCAATTCTCACCCCAACAACAGCCCCCACCCATTCCTCCCCACAGAGCTTGATCTCAAAGCCATATTTAGTATTGCCCGTGTCTTATGAATAGTCATTATTTATACCTTGCACAAGTTAAACAGATGCTTTGTACAAAATTAGTATACTATAATTATTATTATTCTAAGTGAGATGTTTTCATAAAAATCATGGAAAACACATTTTATGTCAGGTCTAAGCATTGCTATGGTGGAAACAACTTCTTGTGGCATAATGCCTTCATAAATGTTTGTGTCAAATTCTCTTAGCTGGGAAACTACAGATTAAATCAGCATTCTCCCCATGATATGCATTGGACTTTGCCAAGTTATTTAACCTCTTTGGGTCCACTTTCTTTTCATCTGTGAAATGATAAAAGTAATAGTGGCCAACTGTACTGCAGGGGAGGGGAGTCAAATCACATACTTTGAAGCAGTTGGGATTGTACCCAGGTATTAATAAGCACGCCATATATGAAAGCTGGAGTTTGCTGTTGATTTTAAAGTAATAGAAATGTTACTCAAAATGATGGATTTGGAGACTGCCACCACTCCAGTCCCCTCAGAGCATTTAGGGAAGGGCTGCCTCTGTACCAATGTAGCCCTAAGAAGAGAAGAATGTGTGAGACTTGGTGCCAGCTAAGCTTTCCGATGTGTTCCTATGGGGAAAATGTAACTTGTGTCAGAACCTTAGCGAGGAACACACATCACAGAAATGCCAGAGAGCCTGGACAGTCAGCTGGAGTGGCTCATATGGCTGCTGGGCGAGCCTGCCACAGAAAGTGGGCAGCTCTGGCTTCTGCTCAAATCAGGAATTCACGGCCACTCTTACAGTTCAATTATGCCTGCTCACAGGTCCTTTGTGGAAAAGAGAATTAGTGTCCCAAAACCAAATGAGTGACTTTGAGAAAGCGATATTGAATAAGCTGTGGCTGAGGGCGCATTGTGCTGGACCCATGCAGAATGACAGGTGAAAAGTGTGGTCCCTATAGTTGGGGCCAGCTGTGACCAGCTGTGACTGCAGCTGCTTAGCTGAACATGTCACAGAGGCACAGGCTGCAGTGAGTACAGATGCACAAGCTTTGAGATAGCAAGAGATGCTTGTCTAGAAATCCTCAGCAACTCCACCAGCCTAAGCCAGCCAGAATTGGCAAGGAGGCTGTTCATCCTTGCTTAGGACTTCTGAACACTTCTCCTGTGGCTATGCCTTCAAAACCAAAGCCAACCCCCAAAAGATGGATATGATAAACACCCTCTTGCACACTCCTTCCCCTCCCTTGGGAGTGAAACCAGGGGCACTTAAGACTCATTAAAGCTCAAAGCTAAGACCATATTTTGTTAAACACCTTAAAATATACCATATTGCATGCTAAAAGTAATTTTTGAGATCTCCAATGTGGCTTTAAAGCACAAACAAAAGAATAAGAACAAAATATCATCAATGGAGCAGCAGCCATAAGTATAAAGTTCTTTCTCTGGAATCACCTTAAGTCTCTGAGACGGAGGGAGAGATTACCAACTTAGTTGACAAATGAAGAAACCAAGGCCCAGACAGGTCAGGAACTTTAACAGAGTAGTCAGTCTAGCAAGTGCCAAAATGGAGCTTTGAATTTGTGTCTGTCTGATCCTGTGCCTGATGTGTTAGGTAAAAAGGGTCTTCATAAGCATCAGTGGGATTGATGCATGCTGAATTTTATAAGTCCCATAACAGCCTGTGAGAAAGGCATCACTAGTCAAATCCCAAAGGAAAGCAAAGATCCATGAGATAAAATGATTGTCCTAAAGTCACACATGGAGAGGCACAGCTGTGACTGAAGTCTTTGAAAAACCTCTGGGTTTTCTCTGTACTGTGACAGCACTGGAGACTGACCAGGAAAGGAACATCACTGTGAGGCATGTCACAGCCCTCAGGAAATCTGGGGAGACCTAAGAGAATGTTGTGGAAAACCCCAAAACTGTGAGGCAGAAACTGCTTGATCCTCAAGAGCCTAGGACCCCACTGAGGTGGGGGGACACTAGATTTAAACCCACTCAGTGCTAAGCCAACCACTTATGGTCCACCCGTGGTCTCCATACCCTCCCCAACATCTCACCTGTGCACATGTGTACCTTAAACCTTTCTCCTCTTTTGGAAGAAGGGAGCATCCCAGGACCATTTATACAAAAAGGCCAGGGGAAGTTATAAGCTTGCTGCCCAGCAAAGCCTCCCTCCACAGCAGAAATGTGGGAGCACAGGAAACCCCCAGTTCCTTTGAAGCACATGTGGTTGACTGTCAGAGCAGGGCTTGAAGTTAGACTCTGGCACTTAGTAGCTGAGTGACCTTGGGCAAGGATATTTCATCTTAGAGCCTCCATCTCCTCATCTATAAAGTGGAAATTATTACACTAATCTCCAAGGGCTATTAATGAGCATAAAATGAACTGTAAAGAGAGAAAATTGCCTTTCCCTAACAGTGGGTACTCCTTCTAGATGGAATTGCCTTTCTTGGAAAAATGCCTTAAGCTTCTTGTCTGGAATAGAAACTACATTCCCAGAGCCTTGGTCTCAGTCGCATGGAGTCTTCAGAGGAAAGCATACTTTAAGTATTGAGTGATTTGGATTGAGTAGAAGTGCAAGCGTGAACTAATGGCAGAATATTAGAGGAGCGCAAACTGACCATTCCTTATGTGACTCTTAGGCCTTCAGCAAGGTCCCCCGAACACCAACATGTCTGCTGTCATTAGATCCCTTGTGTATTCCAGAAAGGGCTGAGATCCATTTGCTTTGGGCCAAATAAGATATCTTATGGGAACAACACACCCAGAGCAGTCTTGGAACATATGCCCATATGTTACCAAGATCTTGGAAGATGTTTTTAGGAGAATGCCAGGTTCTGGAAATTAAGAGGTTCATGCAAGTCCCAAGCCAACTGCAAAAGGGAAGAAGGACTCTGGTGGGCCTGTGGGTTAGACACATGTCGATGAAAGTATTTTGTAAACTTGAGTGATCTCATTTGAAGAAAAGGGAAGGTGATAGCTATTTATCAGGCAGCAGCTCTTTGGCTGGGTGTCACCCTTCGCTCTTGCCTTCAGGAAATAATTTTATGGTGCAGGAAACTGAGGGTCAGTGAAAGGACACAACTCACTCAGAGCCACATAGCCACGCCCCCAAACTCCCAGGGTTCTCTGCACCACTGTACAGCATACTCAGCGTTTGTTGTGCTGCCCAGGAATTCCTTGTTCAGGCATTTGTCTCCCTTCTAGGCTGCCAGGGATGATGCTGTGTTTGTCCAGAAGTCCCAGCATGCCTCACAAGGTCTGTCAGAGGCACTTCCACAAGATGAACAGACAGTGACCTATTCTGGGGAACTGAGCTTGGGTCCTCTGACAGAACAGTCCCTGTTCTGTCCCTCCAGCGTGTCAGCAGAGTCACGAGGACAAACATTTCTTTTTTGCATTCAAGTAAGATGTCCTGAAATCCTATACAAAAGAAACTAGTTTTCAGTATGTGTAATGGAAGCATTCACGCTTTCAGTCTGACCCCCTACACCTTAGCCGCCGAACTCAGCATCTGCTCCAGTAATTGCCTTTAGCAAGCAGAATCTTGGGTTTACATTCTGGTTGGCACAAACAAGTTGGAAATTGCTGAGAAAGCCCTGTGTGTGCAGGGGAGACTGGTTTGTTGAATTTACATCTCCTGTGTAAAGACAGCCAAACCTCGAGCCCATGGTATCTGCCTCCCGATAAGGCCCTGTCCATATGACCTTCTGGAGTACCAACCTACAGGCCAAGAAGACAGCCAGCAGCACAAACAGAGAGTAGCTCAGCTGGCAAGTGGGAAATCATCCTGTCATGGAAAATCAAAGTGGTTCAACCTCTGAGTTCACTTTCTAGATGCCCTTAGACTGGGCACAGGGGCATTGCCTTGAGCCTTGTCCTAGCTCTTGCCATAGTGTCCCCTTCTCCCAGGGCAAGGGGTCAGCAGCCAGTGGGGTGCGGCCACCTGAACCCTGTTCTCTTTTCTCACAAGATACTAGGTCCCTGGTATCCCAGAATTCCTTGCTCTGAGTTACTCCAAACTCACTTCCAGGGTCTGTATAATCCTCTTCCCCAGGTTTGCCCTGCCTGTGAGCACCGCTAAGACCAAAAGATGTCTGTCTGCAGGATGTAGACAGAATTTGCACTGAAGGATTGAGATTTATACACACACATGTGAGCCTTTGGGAGGAGGGCCA